ACACACGTCGGTAATAATGATGAAGAGACCTGGATACAAAACTGGCGTCTCATAACTTGTATTATACAGATCTTTGCGAACCAATTTTCACGACACTTTAACTGTTATTGCTACTACTATACGTGCTATTACATATAACGTCAATAACACTATCGGTATGTCTTTATGATAAGTCAAGCTGTTGTATAACTTGTGATATTACGTCTTGTGTCTTTTCCCATTTCTCGCTATACGTTTCGATCGCTTTAATAGGATCTAATGCAACAATCTTTTTACTGTCTTTATGATCATATCCGGCAGTCGATCATTGGAAATTATACAAAACTCACACAAAAGAAGAGGAAAAGGTCTAATTTAGAGGGATATTCTTCGAGCGAGTTTGTGGCTTGGGATTGAATTTATATAATTAACGTATCAACTTCTTTGATGGTGGGTAGTAAATATGGTTTTTGTTTAGATAACAAAGAACAATAGATTCAAAATCTCAATAGAGTTTGAGTCTACGGTTTCATTGAAAACGCCTTTTTTAATACTTCGGGATTTGATGTACATGGATACTTTTTGGAATCACAAAGTTTGTATCATATCCCTCCTCCTTAATTCCTCATCTCACCAAATATACTCTTTATGTCACTTTTTCTTTACTTAAGGTAATATTGTTCAGACTAGCTTAGCATATCTCACACTTCGAATTACGAAGCTTTTTTATGTCGTTAAAAAATAAAACATTCTTCCTCCGCACTTAATTGCTTGGGATCCCTAATAAGAAAAATCAAAGAATATCATTAAAAATTATATATTATTTCTTTACGTAATAGGAGGGCATAGGGCGATAGATAGATAACACTGGACTAAATCAGGATTGGCGAACTATTTGCTCAAACATACATAACATCTTACAGAGAACAAATGAAAGAGACGATGCAGAAGCTTCAGAAACACCCAAGAAGGAACAAAAAAGGCCTATTCTTTCTTCATATCTTGAATTAATTGAGCCGGATATTTGTATATAGAGTTCAATGAATACCTAATAGAAACGTAAAGTTGCCTCGACTCAAAGCCTAGTAAATTAGGTGCAACTGTAAAACTAAGCGCTTAACTAATCGATGTGTTTGTCGCAAAGCTGCAGTTAATTGTAGTTTGAATTGTCATTATCATAAAGTTTTCAGTCTCCGTTAATCTGTCAAATTGCAATATTGTATCTTGGCTAGGCAAATATTAATATCAGTTATACAATCTAATCGTAATGTAAAATCATCATTCAAATAGTAGGCTAAAAATTATATTACGGTCTTTTCAATATAAATCACCGCGCGCGATTAGATCAAAAACCACTAACAACTTGTCCCAATAATTACACAAACAATATAACCATACCATCCAGTAATTTCAATGCAAGATACATTTACAGTCTAACCATAATGCTATAATTGCAAACATCAAACATCATCAAAATACAATGCTAAAAATTGTACCAATAATGTCAATCCACACATCTAACCCGTAAACTGCGTTTGATGTCTTTAATCACACAAGCCCATTAGTGAAGCGATGATGAACACCTTATGATTAACCCTTCACATTCACAATTAGCAACAATATCAGTTGGTTATGAAGCAGTAGCATTAATATATTATTCAATAAAATGTATTATTCCGTTCTGACATACAACATATATATGTTAACTGTAATACTCAATTCCATAAGTTCTCACATATCAAAGGCTAATCATTCGTTTCAGCAAAAAGAAATGAACTTATTACAATCTGAACTCTTTGTTTGCTATTATTATCTTTTATTATTGGGAATATACATTATTAGGTACATGTTTCTTTATGTGCTATTCGATTTATTTCATGTAGTTCTATAGTTAAAATACTGAAACAGGCATTTTCATAAACGACTTATGATTAATATACTATCTTTCAGAGTTTGACATGACATGTCATTTATCAACCAGCTTGTGTATATCATATTTACTGTTGTCGCTTGATCATTAACTTCATAAGAATGTAAGTATTAATATACGTGACTTCTAAATTATTAGATAAAGTTCTTATACAAAATTATATCGTATAAGGTGTAGGAAATATGGTTATATCATTATTCGTTGCGAAATTACATCGATGTTCTTTACACTATTCCCTCCGCATACATTTTCATTATGACAATCTAATTCGTACGATAACTTGCTTGACGTTTTTATTTTCATTAGTATAGAAGCAAATGTCTTTCAACCATCAACATATGTATTATGTCTGAATTTGGTATTTGAAACTAATGTCAAGTGTCGAAGCATTCGTGGAAGTGGAGATTCTATTTATTGCATTATTAAATCAAGGGTTTAAATGTCATAAATACAAAGTTTTAGTTTTTGTTTAACCTGTCAAATTGCAATATTGTATATAGACAAATATCATATGCAATCTAATCATCATACGGTTAGATCAAAAAGTCTATATTTACAGTCTAACCGTGATGCTAAAAGTCACACCAATTATTTCGATACAAATTAGACTATATCTACACATTTCAATGCAAACAAACCGGTTAGATTAACATTGACCATATTCACAGTCTAAAAGCTTGTACCAATAATTTCAAGCAAAAACCATCGTATGATTAGATAATTAGTCCACACGCATTGACAAAAAGCGACTACGTTTACTATCTAACCGTAAACTACTAAAATTACTGTCGATATCAAGCAAATTATCGTATTAGTATGATATATCTACACTTAACAAACAAAATAGAGTTCGATAATCATAGAGTCAGCGGCTCTTACAATAAACTCGTTAGTAAGAACACAATCACTTATTTGTTATAATAATTAGTACAGTATAACCTTTAACAGCCATTTTTATAACAACATTAATATACATACATAATTGACATTGCTTAATAAATATCTTTTTATCTAATCTACATATTATTCCAAACTGACCTATGTCAATTTAGAATCGACATAATTCCAACCTGACATATGTCGATTCCAAATTGACATACAACACCACTCTTTCCTTAACAATGGCCCACAAGTTTTCAATAGGATTTAGATCAGGACTGGTAGCGGGCTAGTCCATAACAGTCGAACCATTTTTTTTTCTTTGAAATTGACCAGTTGTGCTTTTTGACTGGGTTTTCCTATAATACAAAAACCACCCCACGCATTAATTCTGGTTCGGTCTTTAGGAGACGAACCAACCAAATATTTTACACAAATACTCTATTGTGTTCCGAAACAACCAAAATGATGTTTCATCGGTAAAAAGTGTGCGATTCCCATTATCATTTAATATGTTTCTGAGTCCATTCTATTCGTTTTGCTGCTCGTGAGCATAACCGTCACTAGTAGACTTTTTTGTCATACCCAAGATGAGCCGGTCAATATTTTTGACGATATTCGTCTAATATTTTTGGGACAACCAAAACGCTTCCGGTTTTCTTCAACTTTGCAATATGGTTGATCTCGGGATACCTGCTCGATGTTGAACAGATTGGGCTTGTGCAATTTAGTTGTTTGACTAACATATATTAAGACAAAAGGTAGTCAGAAGTACAGATGAAGCAAATATGATTATAATAGTCGTACAAACACTTAACTTAATTTGGCTGGGTTGTATGACTTCTTTGGTAACACGTTATATAAATAAACAGTATATCTATATCTGGGTCCGTTCATTTCATCGACAATCATTTCGCCGACAGTACGTTTCACCGACATAAATTTCATCGAAAACCAATGATAAGTGCGATAAACAATGTGTCACGTGAAATGACTGTCGGTGAAGTGTACTGTCGATGAAATGATTGTCGATGAAATAAATGCCTCCCCTATATCTATATCTATATCTATATCTATATCTATATCTATACCTATCTCTGTGCCTACATCTATTTATTTACAATATCGATCTACATCTAATTTATAATCCATAAACAAAACATCCAAATAAAGAGTAGGCTAAAGCGGAGATTCTGGAAGTTGTTCCACTAAATTTTACGGTTAATTGTGCAACAAACAATTATAATTAAACAAGTTCCTACAGCTAACAGATAACATAAGTCCAGGACTCTCACCGCTTTAAAGAAAGAGAAATCTCACAGGAAATTACAGCCAGTACATACTCGTAACACAGTAACCGAATTTGTTGATTAAACAGCCAGGTAGGGTTTACGGAGTATAGACGTAAGAAAAATGGAAAGTCTTGGGATAATTTTGTGGTGAAAAATCGAGTTGAATAAAACGAAGTACAGTCTAACCTCGACATAATATGTACTATTCTATATACCGGTTTCTCCGAAATTTTGTGGGAAATCATTCCCCGTTCACTGTCACAAAGCATGGTATACATATGTGTTCACACGGCGGTAAATATTTGTTAACGAACAAACAATCACAGTTAAGTGAATTTAGTAACTCCTCTCGTTCTCAATTCTGTTCGTACTTCTTCAAAGATCACATTATTTTTTTGGTGCGAAAGTTGAAGTCAGCGTACTCTGATTCAATATTATTGATTATTTTTGAATTAAATCAGAATAAAAAACAAGATTTATGATGATATGAAAAATATTATTTATTGCTTCTTGAATATCAATTGCTATGCAAGAATCTCGTGCTCGGTTAGCTATATCTTTTCTGAAACCGCACTTCATCTTTTTTGCCATGACATCGGTAGATGCTTTTGTATAATATCAAGCAAAATATCAAATAAAGTGTCTGATGAGTACGATGATGTTTATGTAGACTCAGTTGAAAACGCATATTGCATTAAAAACTGAATTCAATTGTTACGATGCGGCTACCTAGTCGACAATAATCTGCTTTTATGGTGCGCCAGAGTCGTCAAAAGTCTGTATTTAAAATACAGATTTTCTGTATTAAAATACAGTTATTTAATGTACAGATTCTGAAAAATGCGGAATTTCGTTTATGGTAAATTAAATGATACATTTAATTCCCAACAGTTTGGTATTAATTGATACTTTTCATCCAATCATTTCGTAGCACAAAAGTGTACTAAATTTACATTTACGGAAAATTAAACGCCAAATGACGTACGCTCCACAATTACTTTCTCACTCTCTCACTCTTTGATTTCTCATTCTTGCTTTATTATTCTTACACTCTCTGTCTCTCATATATTCTCACCTGTCACTCGCTCAGACAGTTCTTTCCCTCTTGCTCCTAACGCTACCCGCAATGGTTCCGTAATCTTCGTACTCAGAAAAGAGGTTATGACTTCGCCTTTACGTTTCTGCGTATCGCCGTAGCTTACGTAGCAGTCCATATAACGTTTCTCAGACAGTTCTTTTACTCTTGCTAAAGCTACCCGTAATCCCTCGCAATGGTTCTGTAATCTTTGTACTTAGACTTTTCCAAAGAGATTATGACTTCGCATTTACGGTTCTGCGCATTATATTAGTGTCGCCGTAACTTATGTTTAACCAGTCCGTATAACGTTTCTTAAATAAAGTTAAGTCGAAAAATATCATTTAGTTTTCCGTAAATGTAAATTTAGTACACTTTTGTGCTACGAAATGATTGGATGAAAAGTATCAATTAATACCAAACTGTTGGGATTAAATGTATCATTTAATTTACCATAAACGAAATTCCGCATTTTTCAGACTTTGAAAATAATTTAACAGCATTACTTCCGGTAATAAACCCTTTTTTCTCTTCATCGGCTTTCCTGAACAATGTTAATTGCTAAATATTTAAAAAAGTAGAAAAAGTGTTAAATAACTGTATTTTAATACAGAAAATCTGTATTTTAAATACAGCAAATCTGTATTTTAATACAGAAGATATGTATTTCAAATACAGAAAATCTGTATTAAAATACAGACTTTTGACGACTCTGGCGCACCATACTGCTTACCCCTTGAGTACATGCAGCAATGTTTGAGTACAGTATAACAACAATGCTGCAATGAGTCAGCATCATCCGCAGAACAATAACTTGGCGATATATCATGGGCAAGATGATTATGAACGCAAAACTCCAAGTCTTTAACAAAGATGGCCTCAAGTCGATCTGATAAAGAAAGGTTAAGGAAATATATCGAAGACCGGAACATCCGGTTTTATTCTTTTGATGACTTTATTGACCCGGTATACATCGGTGGTGGAGCATATGGTGTAGTTTTCAAAGCAAAAGTGAAGACGCTTGGTAGAATGATCGCATATAAATTTCTCCATTCACAAAACGAAAACGATATGTTCGAAAACTTTGTCAAAGAGGTTGGCATTTATAATAATTTATTTCTATGTTTGGATGTTATAGTCTAATTTTCACAATTATATTCTAGCTTGAAATTCATCGTATGGTTGATGACCATAATAACATAATTCGCTTCTTCGGAGTAAGTGAAGGTAAGCATTGAGTGCTTGGATTACGGGCAAAGTATGAGCATGGTATTAAAACGTCTTGGCTATTCTATCAAAAGATTCGCTAAAAAGATATGTCATGGTCTTTGAATACGCTGATAGCGGTTCATTACGAAAGTATTTGTCGGATACATCTGTTGAATTAGACTGGGTTGCCAGATACAAGCTTGGTATTGATATAATTGACGGACTGCGGTACCTTCACTCACTCGATATTTTACATAAGGATCTGGTAATTGTCTAATATTTTTGTATAATATTATATTGTTTAGAATCTTCAATAATACTTAGTAATTCTGCTATCAGTCTTCTCAGAATATATTGATTCATGCCGGCGTGGCAAAGATAACAGACTTTGGCTTGTCAGACCTAATCCTATCACAGAAAAGTCGTTCAAATGCTAAAGGAACTCTTCCATACCTTGACCCCAGATGCTTTAACGTCGATTACACCAAGCGTGATAAAAAATCAGATATATTCAGTTACGGAGTGGTATTATGGGAAATCGCTGGCGGAAAAAAGCCATGCGATGGGATCCAGTATGACCGCGATATTGTAATTTACAGACTAAATGGGGGTCGAGAAGCTCCAATTTCAGGAACTCCAAAAGAATATATCAAATTATATTCTGATTGTTGGGATGATAATCCAGAAAAAAGACCATCATGTGAAGAGACTTTCAATAGATTAAACAACATGATGCAACAACTAATAGCATCAGAACATCCATTTGTATTTGCTGATGAGCTGTCAAAAATATACCAGGAAGAATTATTAAAAGGAAAAGCCCAGAAACAGATTGCTAATTCAATTAAGTACTGGTTAACAAAAGGTAGACATTGTCAAAACGGCATTATGAGACTAAGTAACCATAAAGATTGTGGACAATGCTTATGGTTACTTGGGCTTTTTTATCAATATGGAATAACAGTTGAAAAGGATCTCAATCAAGCAATCTACTGGTATAAACTGTCTACAGGACATAATAATGTTTTTGCACAATATAATCTTGGTCTTTGCTATGAAGATGGTATTGGAGTGGAAAAAGATGCTAAGAAGGCTGTTGAATTATATCAAAAAGCTGCTGAACAAGATCATGCTGCTGCACAGAATAATCTTGGCCGTTATTATGAAGATGGAATTGGAGTGGAGAAAGATGCTAAGAAAGCTGTTGAACTATATCAAAAAGCAGCTGAACAGGGTCATGCTGCAGCACAGTACAATCTTGGTGATTGCTATGAAAATGGAATTGGGGTAGAAAAAGGAGCTCAGAAGGCAGTTAGGTTATATCAAAAAGCAGCCAAACAAGGAGTTGCTGTTGCACAAAATAATCTTGGTTATTGCTATCAACATGGAATTGGAGTAAGGAAAGATAATAGAAGGGCAGTTGGATTATTTCACAGAGCAGCCAAGCAAGGGAAAGCCAAAGCACAGAATAATCTTGGGTATTGCTATCAACATGGAATCGGAATAGTGAAGAATGCTAAAAAGGCAGTTGAATTATACCAAAAAGCAGCTAAGCAGGGATGTGCTGCTGCACAGTATAATCTTGGTAATTGCTATTATTATGGAATTGGAATAGATAAAGATGTTAACAAAGCAGTTGAATTGTATCACAAAGCAGCTAAACAAGGACTGGCAGCTGCACAAAATTATATTAAACTTTATAATAAGAAAAAGGCTATAAGGAAAGCAGTTTATGCTATAATCTCACGTTTTGTTTATATTATATATTCTATTGTGACATGACTCTAGCTTTTTTACCAAGACTTTGTTGTTTTACTGTCAATATTAAAAACTAGATTTAGAATTATGGGGCTGGCCTCTAGCTGTGGTTGTTAAGAAGTGCTTTCAATGTCATTTGTGAAATACAGTAATAAAGTTATATATGTATATAATTATTTATTTTTGATATGTTGGATCGATAAAAATATACAGTAAATAAATTTGACGCGTTTTGTTTGCAAATGTACAACTGTTTACCTTTCATCGAATTTGTAAAAGTGAACAAACTTTTTTCTTCATTATTGCCAGCCAAAAAAAATACATAAAATGACTAATATTTCTCTGCGTAAAAAGGGTAGCAGGGCGCCCAACAGTTTATCTTAATCCGATAGAAAACATGTGGTTTGTAATAAAGGGTAAAAAGTGCCCAAGAATATAAATTAGTTGAAGCAACTTATGAGTAAAGAATGGGAGAAGATTCCTGAAGAAACAGTACAACATATTATTATGCTTATGAGAAAAAGATACTGTATGAACTGAGTTTACTATTACAGCAGAAAGGTGATAGAATTAGATATTTGATATTAAAGTATTTTATTTAATAAAACGACTTTTAATCTTTCAAGATTTATCCCATTACATTCTGTAGTCGCGAAAATACATTTTTATTTGCAATACTTTGTATAAGGTATTAGTATGAATAGGTATTATGACTCCTTATACAGGGGCAAGTTCAGCTTTGTTGACGTAATTTTGTTTGATTGAGTCGAACGTATGTGTAATTGCCTTATCGGGTTTTTCTGGGGGTTTTTTTCAGATTCTTGGTCACTCACTGTTGTGGACACATAATCAGTATCCTGATGACCTGTCAGCACCGCAGATGTCAGCAGCACCATACAGATTGCGTACTCAGCCCACCTGGACCGACTTATCGAGGAGTATTTAATTATTAACTAAAAAATGTGTTAAGCTCGTTTTTTATTGAATTTACTTTTTTCATAAATAAACTCTCTAAATTATATTATTATTAAATCTTATGTGGCTATTACTATTGCCATCCTCCTGTTGTGTTAACAAATGTCTCAATTTTTCCAAACTCTCTAATTCCATATTGGCACTAATAGTACTTCATTACCATCATCATAATGTTCTTCATCAACTTCTTCACATGCATGGAAATAAACACATCAGAGTCTGACCATTGTTCAAACAAATCTTTCTGTTACACAGTCATATTGGTATGTATGTAATCACGTGAATTGCATTTGGAGAAATACCGTATTTCACGGACTAAAGTACCAGTGGTATTTTACAAAACCCTGTTATACCATAGGGTACTATACACGAGGTGGTACTTTGATCGGAAAGCTAGAAGATTTCGATAGATCATTGGAGATTGAACCAAATCATGCCTGGGCGTTGAGTCGAAGGGGAGATGTCTATTACAGTCTTGATAGATATGATGAATCATTGAGGGATTTCAACATATCATTGAAGATCGAACCAAACCAAATTTGGGCTTTGAACAAGAGAGGACATCTCTATTATTGGCTCGAACGGCATGAGGATGCGTTAATTGATCTAACAAAGTCTTTGGAAACCGAATCTAATAATGCATTTGTATTAAGAACAAGAGGAGCCATCTATTTTAATAGTAAGCAGCATCACAATAATACTACTGCTTCCATTGAACCTGATGATGCATGGACATTAAGTAGGCGGAGGGAAGTTTACTATGCACTTGGACGGTTTTTTAGTGCTATTAATGATCTCGACAGATCGTTGGAGATCGATCCTAATGATGCATTTTGCATGGAGTAGCGGGGAGAAGTTTATTGTGCACTTAATATTAAACAGTTTAATAGTGCTATTAACGATCTCAAGAGATCGAACCTAATGATGCATTCGCATGGAGTAGAAGAGGAGAAGTTTATTTTATGTGTCATGACTACGACAGTGCTTTGAATGATTTCAATAAATCATTAGAGATTGAACCAAATAACGCATTTGCATGGAAGAAAAGGGGAGATGTTTATCGTATGCTTGAAAAGTATGACAAGGCACTATATGATTTCAATAAGTCTTTGGCGCTTTGAACCACAAGATGCAGCCTCATTGAAGATAAGAGGGTATGTCCATTACTGGCTTGATCAATATGAAGATGCGTTGCTC